ATCCTCCAGTCTACTGTATGTGTGAATACATGAATCCAGCTTATAGTGTAACACTCGGTAAGTTGGATGAAGTGGGAGAGTCTTCCCGGGGGAGAGAGTAGTGATTAGAGCAGACCACAAAGGACATTTAGATGAAGGGAAGAGAGGTGATGAGAAAGTGTTGTGTAGATATGGTGTTAAGGAGAGAAATGCAGATGGCAGTGGATTTTGTGAAAATGATGAAAATGACTGGTCAACACATACTTTAAAAAGAGGGAGTGACAAGCAGTGACATACAAGATGAAGGTAGCTGTAAACACGCACACTATATCTAATGCAGAGGGTACAATCAGGAAGTGATAAGAGACTGCAACGTGGTGTCAGGGAAGAGTTGCCAGAAGACTGGGAAAGTACAGCTGTAGGGCTTAAGGAAACTACTAGGATGGTGTTTGATATATCCACTGACAGAGGAACGTCGACAAGGAGAACTGATAGTGCAATAAAGATGTTCAGGAATGTATTCAAAGAAAATGTGAGACAGTCAGATGAAGTACACAAAAGCACTGGGAGGCAAGGTGTACAGGAAAAGAGGGGGCAGTGGCAAAGGAAATGCATTATAGTGAGCTGTATGTTAAGGTGGACACTAAGTGTGAAGGACTACTTTGAAGAACTGATGAATGAAAAAAATAAGAGCACAGAAGACAAATGGAGGAAAGTTATTGAATCAGAAAGTGAAGGGGTAAGTTTAGTATGGAGCAAGTTAACTTAACTGTGAGGCACCTTATGAGGAGAATGAAGAGTGAGTTCGACCAGATAATGGACTGAGAGGATACCTGAGGAATGGAGCAGCATGTGATTGTATTGTATTGAGCTAGGTTAAGACAGGTGATGATCAGTGAGCAGTAGTATGACTTCATGCTGAGAAAGAGCACTACTACCAAGGAGGCTGTGTAGCAGGCAGGAGTAGGACCCAAATACAGGACTTGAAAACACCAGGGTTAAACAACAGGTGGTTTTATTAAACTAAAACAAAGTACAAAACAAGGAAATCCAACCTTCAACTCCACAGGGCAACAAACGGAGATTCAGACAGCATACACACCAGGTAATTAGGGTGATTGGAAACACCAGGGAACATAGCTGATTGGTATCTGACTAACAAGTCAGGGGAAGCAAAACTGAATATGACACAAATGAGACAGGATACTATCAAAATAAAAGAGGATGGAACCACACCCACAAAGTGAGTCCAAGACTGAAACACGTGAACTTGACACAGATACTGGAGCTAAACAAACATGCACATATGACTGACCGGGGAGACAAAAGCATAGCAAAACACGGAGACTAGACAGACTACAACATGAAAAGACACAGAAAGGAGACTAGGAACAGACTTAATTGCCCCTTGGGGATAAATAAAGTCTCTCTGACTCTGACTGCCTGGATACAAAAGTGAGCTGTAATAAAACAAGAGCCAGGAACTAGAAATAATAAATTGAAGACCTACTAATACAAAGATTGAACTTAAATTCAAAGAAGTGAATCAAAAGTCAAGAATAAACTCAAAATGCTGTGCTGAAGACAAAGGACCATACCAACTAAATATGCAATGTGTGCTTTGAGATTGTTGATGAAGAAGTATAGAGAAGGTCAGAAGGAGCCAAACTGTGTATTTGTGGATCTAAAGAAAGCATATGATAGGTTGCCAAGAGAGAAACTGCATTAGGAAGTCAGGAGTGGTAAAGAAGTATTTGAGAATGGTGCAAGACATGTATGAGGACAGAGAGACAGTGGTGAGTTGTTTACTACAGATAGGGTCAAGGTGGAAGTGGGATTACATCAGAGATCAGCTCTGGGCTCTTTCTTGTTTGCATTAGCGACTAACAGACTGACAGATAAGGTCATTGTGATCTCTAATTAGAATAGGAAGCAGGTGGACGAGAGCACAAATAGATGGAGGTATTCTCGGGACAGAAGGGGAATGACATTTTGTAGAAGCAAGACAGAATATATGTGTGTGAATGAGAGGGAAACTGGTGAAAAGGTGAACGAGATGGTAGTAGAGGCCTGCTATAGTGCGATTTGAAGACTAGCACTGACAAAAACACAGGAGACCGAGCAGGAAATGGAGCTGAGGATGGTGAGGTTTTCATCGGGAGTCACCCAGAATGGATGAAGAAGATTAGAAATGAGTACATCAGAGGGACGACTCAGGTTGAGTGTTTGGAAGATAATGTTAGAAAGAAAGCCTGAGATGGTTTGGGCGTGTGAGGGCAGGGATAGTGAATATACACTACCAGTCAAAAGTTTGGACACACCTTCTCATTTAATCATTTAATGGTTTTCTTTTTCTTTTTTTTACTACTTTCTACATTGTAGATACTGAAGACATCAAACATATATAGCAAGATATATGGAATTATGTAGCAAAGAAAGAAATGATAAATGCGCCAGATGGCCCGGCCTCTACAGTCACCTGACTCATCGAGATGGTTTGGGATGAGATGGACAGCAGAGTGAAGGCAAAAGGACCAACATGTGCTCAGCATCTCTGGGAACTCCTTCAAGACTGTTGGAAAACCATTTCAGGTGACGACCCCATGAAGCTCATCGAGACAATGCCAAGAGTGTGCAAAGCAGTAATCAAAGCAAAGGGTTGCTATTTTGAAGAATTTAAAATCTAAAACGTTTTGAGTTATTTCACACTATTTTGTTTACTACATAATTCCATATGTATGTATGTATGTGTTCGTTCATAGTTTTCATGCCTTTCTTGACTGACTGGCATTTGTATCCAGGAATGAAAATGCTGATTTTGTATGGAATTTATCCTTATATGTGGTGGGTTACATGTACACTGCATCCAACTTCCTTAAGTGGAGAGTTATTTCTGTTTACTTTTTTATGTAAAGAGTCAAAAACCTCTATATTGCCCATAACTTCCATATGCTTACATGCAGTTATACAGGCACAGGACTGAAGAATCTATTGAAGGATAAACTCTGGTGTATATTCATAGGTTAAAGGTAATACAATGAACTATGCATTCCCTACATTGGACCATATTAAAATGTTCAGTATGTTCAGTTCAGTCTTTCCAATTTTTTAGTACCTATAGTGGTGATGACAGTTCCAGCAAAAAAGAAGGCACTACCCAGATCCCAGTGGCTTGAGTTGTAGGAGGTATCACCAACAGGATTCACTCCAGCATTCACAGCCTCCACAGAGTGCTGAGAAGATAAGATAAGGAGAGAGAGAGAGAATTGTGAAAAATGCTGACTGTACTGTGGTGTTGATTCAGCTAAGTCTTCATATTTTAGTTGACTCTGAGGAGACAGGTTACACACGAGTGACAACAAGAACGACAAGGCAAGACCTAAAAAGGGAATTATTTTGTAGATTGTGGCACTTCACCAGTCCCTCACCCTTGGGACGAAACATCAAAGTGATGTTGCGAATGGAGTGAGTGCCAAATGTCACCCTGAGCAAACACCAACAGGCCTAAGGTCAGGGAGTCAAAGTGCTACCTGCAGCCTTGCACCCCTGTTGTACCACCAATTCAATTCAATTCAATTCAATTTATATAGCGCTTAATCTAAACAGTTGCCTCAAGGGACTACTACAATAATATACAATACAACGCAATAATAGAAAACAGGGAAAACCCCAATAATCAGATTACCCCTTATGAGCAAGCACTTTGGCCACAGTGGGAAGGAAAAAAACTGATTTTTAACAGAAAATAACCTCCAACAGAGCCAGGCTCAGGGAGTGGCAGCCATCTGCCGCGACTATTTGGGGGTAAGGGGAGGAAGACAGCACAAACACATGCTGAGGAAGAGAACCAGAGATTAATTATACCTTTTTAAATGCAGAGTGAAAAAAGGTGAGTGATGAAGACACCATCTGTACATCATGGGAATTCCCCAGCAGCCTAGGCATATTGCAGTGTAAGTAAGGGAGGATTCAGGGTCACCTGATCCAGCCCTTTGTGAAAAAGGAAAGTTTCAAGGCTATTCTTAAAAGTAGAGAGGCTGTCTGTCTCCTGAATTCCAAAGGGGGAACTGGTTCCATAGAAGAGGGGCCTTGAAACTAAAGACAGTGCCTCCCATACTACTTTTAAATACCCTAGAAACCATAAGTAAGCCTGTAGTCTTAAAGGGACATGCTCTAACGGGGTGATACAGTAGTATGAGGTCTTTAAGTTAACATGGACCTGATTATTCAAAACCTTATATGTGATGTGAAGGATTTTAAATTAGATTGTGGATTTAACAGGGATCAAAGGAAGAGAAGCCAGGATAGGAGAAATATGCTCTCTCTTTCTAGTCCTTTTTCAGCGTCATTCGGAGACAGG